GGCTCCCGGAGCGCAAAGTTTTGGGTGGCGGTGGGGGCAGGGAGGTCTGCGCTGCCTCTGCGCTCAGGCGCCCACCCCCCCGCGCGGCGACAAAAATGCCGTTTCAATAGTTCATGAAAAAAACCCAAACAAACTTCCCCAGGACTCGCAGAAGGTCCCCGCAGAAAAGCCGGTCGGCGGCGAAGTTTAAAACCGCACACGATACGAGAGGAGGAGGAGGAGAATGCGAGCAATGCCCAGAGCGGAAGAGTGAACTCTCTGTCTCAGGCGCCCACCCCCCCGCGCGGCGACAAAAATGCCGTTTCAATAGTTCATGAAAAAAACCCAAACAAACTTCCCCAGGACTCGCAGAAGGTCCCCGCAGAAAAGCCGGTCGGCGGCGAAGTTTAAAACCGCACACGATACGAGAGGAGGAGGAGGAGAATGCGAGCAATGCCCAGAGCGGAAGAGTGAACTCTCTGTCTGTCTGTCTGTCTGTCTGCCTCTCTCTCTCTTTCAGTCCGTGGCACCGCCAGAGATGTGCATGAGTTTTGGCTGCCGTTCTCTCAGACTGTCAGGGGGTGTTGTTGATTTCCCTTTTCCTGCTGGAGGCGTTGTCTGAACCCGGCTCTGTGGCTTTCTCTATCTTTACGCGCAGACGTGTGCACTTGGTCTGTGATCTCTCATTCCTGTCCTGCAGCTCTATATAGATTGTTTTGAAAGAGAGAGATATATATATAGGTTGTTTTTTGTTTTTTTTTTTTTCTTTGCACAGACTGTGAAACAAGGGGGGAGTAACTTGCTAAGACTTTCCTCATAGCAAAACCGGAGCGATGGCGCAATCTGTTCACTAGGGCATTTTTAATATTCCAGAACCCTGGCAGAATCACATCTACAGCCCATTCCACATTGAGAATTTCTCTCAAATTACACCTATTGGAAAGCCAACTTTCTTTTGCACTCAACCTAACAAATGACAGAGTGTGCATGGAAAATAAATACACACATAAAAAAAATTGTGAACCATGTCAGAAAGCCCACAGTATTCTATCTTAAATCTCTCCCTTTGGCAGACAGTGGATTAAACAGAAAATGAGTTACATCTCCCCAAACCATATAAATGTGAGTCCCACATTGCAAGGTAGCGTGACAAATAGCTGCTGATATATAAGAATAAAAATAAACCATGTCTGAGATCAGTGCTTGTTGCGGGCGTCCTGCGGCCCGGCGCGGGGTGGGAAAAAGCTGCAACTTCGCCGTGGCGGCCGGGCGAAGGGAGCTCGCCGCTCCCTCCGCTTGCTGCGAGGAGACCCAGCGGTGGTGCCGGTGTGTGAAGGGAAGGGGGGAGAGGCGTGCCGGTGCTTCACCGCGGGCATAAATCTTCTTTCGCTGATGCCGGGCTGCAGCAGTGAAAGTGAGACCGTCGCTGGAGCAGAATTGCGCACCTTGTTTTACTACCCTCAGTCAGTGCCGTAGTCACGTTAATTTAGATAGATCTCGTGCCATAAAGTTCTGTTCGTCCTCCTAGAGCGTAGGATTGAGTTATTCGAAAAGGAAACGATATTTTATGCGCGTTAGTATTAATAGGAGTATTGAACGATTTGGACATAAAACTGTAGTTACGTTATGCCAGTTGGGAAAGGGCGGCTCGCTCGCGCTGCTGTAACCCCCGGGCAGTACCTGCTGCAAAACAACAAGAAGTGTTTCTCCTGCGGAAAGTTAGGCTGGCGGGAAGACAATCTCCACATCTTCCGTGCTCGGGCCACGGGTGCGTGTTTCCGCG